TTTATTTTGTTTGGAAATTTTCACAATAGTAGATCTGGACTAATCGAGACCGCACTATGTGAGGTATTGCTGTATATGTACACATATCATGTTTTACTATACGAGTAAAAATCCGGAAATTTTAGAACTGATTAAACTTGTTAAGCGAGGTTCTACTGTATTTAAAGATTTGATTTTGATTACATTCATGATACTTTCGTTGTACTATACTCAATCCATCGTTTGGTGTTGGTGCGATTACGCAAAGTGCATCAATGAAATAACAATAAATCATCCGAGGAAAATTTTAAATTAGAAAAGTTTCGTATCGCTCTTTAAGCTTGTGACACACACACACATACTCACATCCATACAGTCTGTTTGCGATCCAATTCCGAAAAGCGGCTTCCCAACACGCATTTTCATTTACTACCGCCGCCCTTCCATCTGCTCGTCTGCTGCGGCGGTGGAGGCAGTGGAGGCGGTATCCCCTTTTCACTCTAGTGGCAATAAACTGCCCTCTTCAATCATATTCTACTTTACATGCAAGCCGAACAGCCCAATTACAAGCCTTATTGAAACAACGATTCAATTATTAGACGCCTCCGTCGCTAGAAATATTTTCCACATTTTACCTCCAGCCGTGGGGCAATCCTATACCATCTACCTACCCCATTCCGAATTCTACCCCTACAAAAATATTGCATATTTGATTGAACCCTTCTGAACTAATGCATCATCCGATACAAATGACTAGACTAAATACCACATGCCACTCAATATTTCATTCATTTAGCTAAATAAAACGTAAATACTATTTGAACACCAACGATTTCATTCGGTTACATAATTTCATTCAAAAATTGGAAATCTTAGTTAAATAAATGCAGAAATCTTATTTTCTAGTGGCTAGTGTATTTTATTATTCCTGATGCGAATATATTCGTCATAAGCGCTAAACAACCACTTAAGGGGTTAAACTTTTTGTTTGAAAAATCTGAAGTAAATGTGTTAATCCAAAAATTCTCACATTTAAATTAAATGAAATTTTGAAACAAAAGAAAATAAATTTTAAATATTTCAAAAAACAAAAGTTTTCTTTGTTAACTATACAGTATTGACTATATTTTGTTATAATTATTGGATGATATACAAATTGAATAGAAATGTAATGAGAATTGTATAACATTCACGTAAAAATCATAAACGAATACATACTTGATTATATAATATTTTTTTAAATATGTTAATATCAAACAAACTAAATGAATGTTCAATAGATGTCGTCCTGTAACTTCTGTGTTAAATATTCATAAATATCCAATAGAATAATTCAAAAACTATAAATTTTTCTGAAACTTCCAAATTTTTGTAAAGGTCGAAAGTATCTACTTCATACAAGTAGGCCACATATTTAAATATAAAAATAAATTAGGCAGAAAGAGTACGGTTAATAACCAATAAATAAGGTGTTCTACAGGGAAATATACTTTTTGTTTCTTTCTTACTAGGGATAAAGAACTTCGAAAGATACTTGATAAAATGTGAAAAAAAATATTTCACACTTTATTTCATACGAATCGAATTAGAACTTTTTTTTTTATAATTTAATGTACACACTTTAGAATATTTGTACACAAATTATAGAATTAATAAAATATTATAGAAATTGTACTAAAACTTGTACTAATGTTTATTGACACTGTCATTCACAATAACAAAATAAAACTTTTAAATATTTATAATTTATTGCTTCCATGTAAATAAAAAAAAGAAGTTTATTTGTACATATTTTTTAATATAAATTAAATTTTAATAAAAACACAATTTACAGTTGATATTTTCGTCTGCCTTTCCAGTATATTTCATTTCTATTTGTATATTTGTTACGTTCAAATTAAATCAATTTATACATTGTTTCATTAACTTTTCAATATTGTAAAAACGAACAAAACGCAATAAATATAAAAAAATATGTATATTTTGCTTCAAATTTTATTTTAAGTAGATTTTTTTATTGATGGTGTTTCAATAAAGATTGTTGGTAATATAGTAATAACTCGCTCAGTGCGGATAGTTATATATAATAGTTAATGCTCTCAGTTGGATGAGGAGTCTATTGTGTAAATTTTGAGTTGAAGTTGTGGAAAGTGCTCTACATAACAATACACCCGTTTACAAGGCAGTAGTTGCTTTGAAGTAATTTCTCAACCTTAGCTTGTAATTGAACAAAATTATTTTTTTGTATACAATCAAATAACTTTTGATGCTTTTAAAGTCCTAGATTAGTCCAGTTTTCAACAGAGCAGAAACCGCACTATGCGTTATGTTAGTTTATATTAAACTTCCTGTTAGTATTTTGACAAATATAAACTAAATCCCCATAGTCAAATAAATAAACTAGTAATACAAACTGAATGATTGATATTGTAACATTGTGGACAACAATTTATGACAGATAATTATTATGCATTCACTTCGGAATGGTCCCAAGGGAAAGTAATAAAACAGAGACGTAAGTAAAAATTGCAAATACTATATCATAAAACGGAACTATTATTTTGAATGGATGTATGTATACAAGGATCAATACGCAAGGACGATATAAAGCCTTAAAAATACGGGACGTTGTGTTGATACTTTTCGGAATACGTGAAATGTCCTATGATTGAAGGATAATAAAATGTATGTACTTGTTTGAGGTTATTAGGAAACTGTACAGACACACAAAAAAATAAAATTAATACACTATTCGTGCTCTAAATCAGGATTCAGTGGAGGATTATTAAAGGTATATTAAACAAGTATATTCAGAGGTGTTTGCACGCCGTGTTTAGTGAATTCATCGATTTCGTGCATTCAATTTAGTACAAGTTTCAATGGTGGATGTACTTAATTGGCTTGTAATGTCTATACTAAAGCTAATTAGAGGGGAGCAAATTGATTCCAATTGAAGTCGATTGTAATAATTGTGTGTTTATATCTAATGAATGCACAATTGTTTCTTTTTTATACAAAACATTTGATGTTGCAAGGTAGAAGATCAAACATCAATATAATAATATATTATGATTATTAATATATGGAGTATAAATCCTATTTATTTAAGTATACGAATATATTTGTCATAAGGGCGAATATATACAACATAAGAGGATTACAATATACAGTTACATCAATAATATTATTTTAACATGCTAAGGGTCGACTTTCGCAATTGCATTTACTTATTAATCATGTTTCAAGAGAAAAATGCATTCGCGTCTTGTATATTCTTTGTTTTTATTTTTTTACTTTGATTTCGTCTGCATCGTTCAAATTCCGCGCTTCGAGTACGCTAGACGTAAAGTGAAGTTCATTATTATATGATGTCGAATTTAATATCCTGCCTTCCTCTTTCATGCTATAAAATGCAGTTATTATTGTCTAGTTTTTTTTTTTCGTATTAAAAAAAATCTTTTCTTTTTTGTTTTTTTCTGTTATGCAATGAAATTTTCTTTTTATAAATTAAATTTATAGATTATTATAAGAAAACCGGGCTGATCGAAACCAGACTCTTGCTGTACTATATGTATTTCTGTAATGCAGAATCCACTGAAGAGTTAACAATAATATTGAAATTGTAGCTTCACCTTTGTATTTATTATGGCTCTTTATAATATTCCTCTTACTAAATGTAGAGTTTATATCAAATATTGTTTTTTGAATCGCGTTGATATAATTTAAAATATATTTAACAATAATTGTTACTACAATTTCAATTACATAGACATGTGTACCTCGCATAGTATGGATTCGATCAATGCGGATTCAGTATTGTACGGTTTTAACATTTCAAAAGAAAATAAAAAAAATACAAAATTATTATATATTTAGGATGATTATCCGCAATATTAGAGGTAATTCTGTAATTAGTTATTGATGGAAATTAAATAAAAAAACAATTAAATAAGCATTATATAATAAATCAAAGATGACAGAAAATATGTCTATATTGTGTAGGAATTCAAGCGACAATTCTCGGGAATTTTGGAAAAATATACAGTCTCGATTCCCGGGAATTATCGTTAGAGACTCGAGAAATTTTTAAATTGAAAATGTCACTAAAACTATCTAGAATATGTATTTTGTGAATTTTGATAAAAAAAATAATTTCTCGAGTCGCAAGAATTCCCGGGAATGTCTTGAAAAGTTGTCTGTCTTCGATTGTCATATATAAATTGAGAAATTATGTTTAAATAAAAAAAAATGTTTAGCAAATAATTAATGAATATATAAAAAGATCGACGTAATGAATAATAATCCGATGGTAAAAATTAAATTAATTAATGTGAGGATGACTGTTTTTCAAGATTTCAGTTGATGTACGTCGGTTTTAAGTAGTTCTGACAGAGTTGTAGTTGAATAGTTTGCGTATAAATCACTGCAGCTTAGAGTAGCATCCCAGGAGAAGAAGTTATAAGAAGTTTAGAAGGAACGTGCAATTAAAGTGGATTCTTATCGATTGAGTAAAGTAATTTAATAAAATGTAAATTACACTGAGTGTCGGAGAAACTGAAGTGTTTCATCCAGTTTATTAAAGTCTTTGTGAATTGTAAGAAATGAAGTTATATTTTCTTTAAATAATAACAACCCAATTTACGTGAGTTGTTCTGTTTTGGTCTACTTGCGGAAACCTTTGTTAGGTCTACAATATTTCAAAGCCTCAGCACGAGGAGAATGTAAGTCCGAAAAGCTTTTGATCATTATTGAAAGTGACTCGTATTGGATTAGAGCTATTCAAGCGCCATTTATGATCGTTATATTTTCGAGGAGCAAGCGAAATTCTTATACTATAATCATTCTTTTCCAATACAAGGGCTGGAGACGGCAGCTTTTGGGTGGTAATTAATATGTAATATGATTGTATGTACATGCAGGCTGTTTGAGTTTGCGTTTCTCGTGGGAGGCAGCAAAGCATTTTCGTCCGGAAGGATCGATTTTCTTGGGCAAATATTTGAGGTGATTCTACGATCTCTTACGGGTTGCTTCGTGAGGCTTTGCCAGGAGAACTGCAGATCCGACATGTTCGGTGGAACCATGACCACGAAGTTGAGGGCGTAGGTGTTGACGACCCCTTCACGGACATAGAAGAGTTCAGCGTCGATACCTAAAACAAAAAAAGGTAACAAAAAGCATACCTTCAGTGAAATCGAATAAGCAAACTCGATACGCGAAAGTACAATGCGTGGATCAGACAAAGCAGAAGCCAAAAAACGATGGCGAGCGTCATGGATTGGTTATGATCGTGCCATGCCGTCCTTTGATCATTTTGGGAAATTTATTTACTCTATTGCACATGTTAAAGCTAAATTCTCGATTTTCCTGCTGTATATCGGTTTTAAATAAAATGGCTTCTCGCTTCAAATATTTCAACAAATTAGTATCGTCTGATGCATCAAATTATAATGTTAATTGGAAATCTATAGAGGATTTAAATATTTTTTATTGTTCATATGAAACATCAAATTCGTATACATAAAAAACAATTAGTTGTAATTAGTCATATGATTGAAACGATGTGCGACGATTCGAAGAATCGCGTTTTCGTAACCATATATGGTGATTTGTTTACATCACGCGTTTTCGTGCCCAAATAAGGATTGTTTTTACCATTTGCAACGTTTGCGCATTTTCTTTGCAAATTTCTTAAATGTCATTTGTCGTTTTTGTTACTATTAACATTTTTACTAATTGAATATAATAATTTAATTACTAATTTAATTGCTAATATTTAAAATAATTAAATCAGTTTACTAAGTAATAAGTAATAATTTATAAAGAAACTGTTATAATTAATAAAATATTTAAAACAATTGAAAATATTTAGAAAAAATTATGAAAAGTACAAGTAAATAGATTTTTTTTTAAATTGCTAAATAATAAAGAAAATGTGTTGTGTAATACCATACAAATTATAAATAATAAATAATTTAACAGCCTATGTAAAATGGTTTATTTGTAATTATTGTATTGTGAATTTATCAAATTAGTTACAATTAAGAAAAAAAATTATTTGAATGTTGATTCATTTTTTTTTTATTATAAAACAGTATTTTTTTTTGTTTACAATTTTAAATAATTATTGTCCTTAATTTGGATCAAAAAGCTATATTATTTTGTGTTTGAAATAAAATAAATCTTATTTCTTATAAAGTCGATGAAAGAATTGAATGAAAGTGAATTTCATTTGAAGTGTTTCAACAAATTTATCAAATAAAACTAATAATAATAATATAAAGTTACTACGTCGGCGAAGTTGTATTGCGTAAAAAAGTAGTAAAAACTAAGTGGAATGTTCATGAATAATACAAAAAAAAAATGCAGAAGGATCGTCGGACATTTTATGATCCCCCAGAGCGTGTTAAAGTTAAGCATCCCTTCTCTGTTCAACTACAATAAAATGCAACTTTATATTTTACAAACTCATTCAGTCTCTCCATTTTCTCACAAATATTCTCATTATATAAACATTCTCAATTGATTTGATTTTTCAAATAATTATATATATTTTTATTTCAATATATTTACACTATTCAAATAGAAGAGAAACTCAATTTTATTAAATTTGAAGAATATTAAATTATCATTTAATTTATAAAATTGATATTTCTTAATAATATATAAAATCATTTTTTTCGATTTTACTTAATTATTATATTTACTTAATTATTTTATCAGTAAAAGTATGAATTTAGTTTCTCGCTTTTATTTATACTAAATTATTCTAATTATAATTATGATGTAAATTATAGTTTATTAACGACATTGTAAGATGTTTTTGAAATACTTGACTGAAGCAACTTTAATTATAATTTGAGCAACTACTTGTCCCGAACGGCTTTCGTCAATTTCAGTTTTAACTAGAAGCAATAGTTGTACCGTGTTCGATGGAATATTCTAATATAAACTAGTTATAACTAGTATTCACCAGATTGAAGCTTTACATATTGAAAATACATATTTGAACAAATATTTGCTCATTCTATGGAATATAATTATGGCATAAAAATTATGAAATTTAACAAAATGTTTATCACTAAATCGAAATATTTATACGTAATTGATTATGATAATGCATTTTGAAGGGGAGAAATGGTGCATTCCTAGAGATGAGTTGAAAAATATATAAAAAAAATAATAATATGACATTCCTAATGCGATCAAAATATGTCTATCGAATTCATTGAATATGCACGGCATCCCTGCATAAAGCGATCCTCCAGAATGTCTACCAATATATACTTGAACCTGCAATGGAAATCCTTATCCTCCCGAGAGAGGAATTGCGAAAACACCTCTTTTTTCTTCAAATCTCTACATTGCATGATTCGCATACGTGGACAGATGAAAAATGCATATATTTATTATTTCTACTTTGAAAAAAAAAACTAAGGACAATAGTATTATTACAAATAAAGAAAATATGAAAATACACATTAATCATTGTAACAGTTATTCTATTATGTACAAATAATGTAATTTGAAGTAAAATGAATGAAAAAAAAACTACTTATTACATAGAATAATGGATTAAATAAAATAGATGTTGGCCCTAATTTCGGCTACAAAAGATTTGAAAAAATTTCTTTGTAACATTATTTATTTAGATTTTCAGTGTTAGATTTGTAATGTTATAATTATTATTTTATTTCATGTTTTTATATTAATTCTAACTTTTTCACTATGCACAAAGTCTAAACATTTATTCAGCATTTATAGCTTGATATAAATTGATTTTATAAAGTAGTCCATTATGCCTTAATCTGTAGCTTCATGTCCATAAATACTGAACTGTATTGATTTTCTTCAAGGCCATTAGTCATTACTACTAGTTCAATTTGTATTAGTGATTTTTGTTGAGAATATTCTTCTTATCCAAAGAGTTTTCGGAGTGCGGATTCGATCAATGCAGATTTATATAATACGGTTTCAAAATAAACTAAATTTTAATTTGGTAAAAAAAATAGTACAGAAAAAATACATAAAGTTGTACAATTGAATCTCCTTTTGTACGGTTTATATTTTATGTAGAAGAGTCCGGTTTCAAACAGTCCGAATCCGATAACCCGCACAATACGAGGTATTTGTATTTCATCTACATTATTAACATCCTTTATCGGATGGATATTTTTGATATTTATGAAATTTTATATTTCAATATTTCATAATGTATTCAAATAGAATTAATTATGACCTTTCGGTATTCGATAATAAAAAAAGTATCGAAAAATTCATTACAATATTTAAAAAAAAAAAGAGAGAAATGTTGATTGGAAACTAAATTTGTACCAATATTATGGTACAAATTAGGGAGTATAAAAAATTGTAAATAAATTTGATTATAATTATATAATTTGTTGTTGTTTTCTTTTTTCCATATGACTTTCAAATTGAAAGCAGTGACAAAATAAAATGTTTCAAGAAAAAAAAAGTTTTATGTCTGTATTAAAAAAATGAAATACTTTAAAAGCAGAGAGTCGAACCGAACCGAAATTAACCGGAATTTTTAACTGAACAGTAACTGTAACCGGAACGTAAAATTGTTCAATTGAAAAACCGGAAAAATATTTTGAAAATAATAGTAACCCGGAATTTTTTAATCGGAACTGAACCGAAATTTTTAGACAAACCGAATCTCGAACGATAAACATTTACTTGGAACGTATCCGTAAACCGAAACGAAATTAATTTCGGTTCGAGTCTCTGTTTAAAAGTAATCTTTTTATGATGTATCAAAATATATATACAGCAATACCTCGCATAGTGCGGTTTCGATCAATGCAGATTCATTATAGTCCGGTTTGAAAATACTTAAACTAAGTTTTTAATTCTAATAAAAATATACATATTTTTTTTAATACATTAATTTCCTTTTTGTTTTCTATTTTATGGATACAAAAATATTTATAGAAACCGCACTATATAAATATTTTGAAATTCAATACTAAAATTAATTAAAATTAGCTGTAATTAATAACGATTTATTAGTAAGTAAAATAATTAACACTTATTATTAATTATGAGAAAACAATATTGTTTTTTAAATAATTGGAGCCTTTTGTCATTTGTAATTAGGATTTAATCAGAATTTTTGCCACTAAAAAAAAGTCTTTTCAGAAGTGTAATCTGAATACCGGATGTGAATCTACATTTGTGGTTTGATTCCGCGTTTGTACATTATTATTATTATTTTGTTTCTAGCAAAGGGATGCGATGTTATGCAGAGTCAATTTCGGGAGTTCTTTTGTAGCAGAAACAGGATGCAAACTTATAATTACTACAAACCCACCTCAAACCCCGGATTCAAAGCGCGACATTTTATCAAACGCGCTCGACTCCCAATTAACAACTTCCCCAATTAATGTATCCTCATCACACGAAATGATAATCAGAAACAGTTTGTGCTTGGATGTGTCCTCTCTTTGTACAAACTGTATCAGATTGTTGCTCATTGCGCAGTTTCGGTTTCGCTAATTAATTAACTTTCGGTTATAGTTGCACGTATGAGTAGACTTACCCAGGAGTTTCATAACTTCCGTCGGTGAGATGAAGACGTTCAAGTAAGCGACGGATGGGTTGGCCAAGGATGCCAGCAGCAGCACCAGGATCAGGACTCGAGCCATGCTTTTCGCGCGCGGCTCAGGCCGTCACTGGCGTCGAGCGCGTCGCGACGCTCGCTTTGCTTATACACGCGTCGGAGCGTCGCAACATCCGACTAACCCCCCGCTCCATCATCATCCCACCTCTCCTTCGAAAGTACACCCTCTCACTTTATACACAGTTTAATTGATGTCCTGATCGGATTATGACTAATATTTCGCGCATTGCACCAGAAAGGATCTTTCTCATCCAGGAGCAAACAGAAACTTTTCCAATCAAAACCGAAACGGTTCGCTCTTACGACACCTCCAAAATAATTCGAATTTATGGCAACGCTTATATACACATATATATATATATGTGAGTGTGCGGTTTCGTTATTTTTTCTTTCTTCTTATTCTCTTCGTTTCGTTTCTTGGTAAAAATGAGGATAGATGAAACGTTCGTTTGTGGTCCATAAACGAAAATAAATGGTAGCAGACCCCTCGAGAAGTGAAAACACCGGCTCCCCCAATATAATAATAATATTAATAGCGGTTATTTCGCTCCTTTCCTAAATGCAAACAAAACAAAAAACAATCCGATGAAAAATAATTCGCTCGTTATTTACTTCGAATGGAACGAAAATATCAGTTATTGTTTCAACTCGAGCAAATTCCCTGTTTCGTCGTGGTTACACTTTATTATGAAACTCATTTTCAAATACTACAATAATACAAAAAGAAGACATAAATTCCCATATCTGTTATTTATTTATTATTTTACAAAATCACAACATTTTTGTCAATTTTACTTATGTTATAATATTAATTATTTATTTATGAAAAAAAAGAAATAAGCTTTTTTGAACAATATGTCGATTAATTAAATTACATAAACTTCACATAAATATTTTATATTAACATTTGGACAAAAATTGTTTGATAAAAATATATATAAATATGTTATGTATATAAATATTTTTTAGAATAAATGCAAAAAAATGTTTGGTTGATAGACTTTTGAGTCTTGTTTCATTTAAACAGAAATATTTTTTTCAATAACTTAAATTATAAACATTTTCAATAACTTGAATATAGAAAAGTGGAGAAAAGTGTACTTTTCAGAAATAAAACTCGGAGTTGGAGTAAAACGATTTTATTTTACCTCGAAATTAATCAATCACAGAAAGAAATGTCTTTAGAACGACTAGAAAAAAAGGACAAATCTGCATTTGTCAGCAATATTACATTCTGCGAAATTATGAAAATAAACATTGTTTCTATATAGAGATTCCTGCATTTGTCATGAACGTAATTAGCTGTCAGTCTGAACTACACTGAATATTTGGATATATTATATAATACACATCTTCATATATATATTTCGATGCTTGAAATTCTCTTATATAATCTCAGCGTCTTTATTACACAAACGGATAAATCGATCTATAAATAAAGTGGTATTAGTAGGAAAGCAAAATTAATTGTTTACTGTCTATCAGCTTAATAATAATATATCTGTAATTATTATTTTTTGTAATTAATATTAATACAAAAGTGGACAAAAATAGGGGCAATTAAAAATTGTAATTAATAAATACAATCAACTAATTATTTTCAAGGGAGAAAACAGCAATTCCTCACCTATAGTCCGGTTCGGAAAATTTCAAAATAAACTAAATTTTAATTAAAAAAAATAAAAAAATTCTAAAAACAGATTTTTTTAAAAATGTTTTTATGTAGAATGCAATGCTTGTGAAGGTAGCACAGGTTTTAGCTAATTTTATGGTTTCCCTGCGTCTCTCCTTTATTAAATTTTCAATCATTATTTCCTCTTGTTCATTTTACGCCGTCGGGAAATTATTTTCGCTTCATTTTCAAAGAACATTTCTCGTTTCGTACATTTTAAAAGGTTTCTATACAAACACAAAATTGTCTTGCGGAGACCGTAGATTTATATCTTATTATAATTTCCAATGCTTTTACAAATTTACCTCGACTATCTTATTTTTTTTTTAATAATATTGTTAAATTCATATGAAATAATAAATTAAAGTTTTAAATAGTACACGAAGAATTAAAAAGTTAAAGTGAAAATTATTATATGATAAACATAAAACAACCCGATTTTTTCAATACACATTCAAAACCCAGTTTAAGGATGCCTCTGTTCCCGAACAATTCGGGTTTCGAACATCAAATGTGGATACTGTGATTGATACAGCAATACTTCGCAATGTACGACTTTGATCAGTCTGATTATATGAATTGCTAAACTCTTACAATTATTTGTGGATTTTGTATATAGTTTTCTTTAAATCCTAGTCAAATTTAACTTGTGTATACAAATACAAGTAATTCAAGTTGTACTTTGTCCTATAAAAACTACACAGTTTAGAAAGCGATTTGGAAAGTAGTGTGTAGCCGCCTATATAAGTAAATTTTAAATAGAGTATCGCGTTTCTTTTGCTGAATGTAGGATATATTAGCAACTAAATATTACAAACTGTTTAGAATACTAGACGGTAGCTAGTATTTACTTGTATATGTCTGTCCGATTTATTATGCAAATTAAACTTCATGTTGTTATCGAATTGATTGATGTGGTTTTAATTAGAATCGTGTTAGTTTCTTGTAATTCTGTTTGCAGTTCCACTTAAATATTCTCGATAGTTATTAATCATTTATCGCTGATTTTACCTTCAATATTCAATTACTTCGTTATGTATTATCACATTACATATGAATTAATAACAAATAAACAGAAGAGTTGCATAACTCTCTCAATAGAAATTATTGTTGTATGCATTATGCGAGGTATTGCTGTTAAAGTTGAAAAAATAAAAATTTGATGCTTGCAACAGTTTTCACATTTTAGTGATTTTCTTTGGGAAACTATAATAGATTTGATGGATCCAAAAGATGCATATCAAAGCTGAATGTTTGGGGAATGTAGCGAATATTCATACATTAATGTGATTTCATCCATTTGGTTGTATTTTGGTTGAAAATATGAAAAATTATCATCATTGCTTAACATTGTATGTGTGCACACATTAGACTATTGTTCTCCGAAAAGGAAAAGGTAAAGACGGCGAAATTGACGGAGAACAGTGAAAAAGGCCGCCACGGCATTTGGGCAACAACAAAGGCGGCTTTCGCAATGATAGAAAGTGTAACGAATTTCTATTTTGCTCTCCCCAATATCCAAAGGCAAACAATAATCATAAATTCTCTTTATACCAACATAAAAATCGCAAAAATACATAGAAATATGTATATTTCTTATATGCTTATATATATACATATTTTTCGTGCAGTATATAAGAAGAGCTGGCAAAGAAAATGGAATTACTTCACCGCAAGGAACAGAGGGGTTGCTTAAAATTTCATACAACCCTTAATGAATAAAGATGTAACGGTAGAAAAAAACTGACGGAAAAGAAGAGGAAATAATACCCCCGCAATTTATCATCAAAGGTCCTTCCATTTTCTCCACTTTTGTTTCATAGAATTATTATTGGATTCTAAAGAGAAATACAAAATACATACATTTTTTTTATATTATTATTATTATTTGTGCCGAATTTTATCGTTATAATCATTAAAACATCATAACTGTAAAGTTTTGAACTCAAGTTTCTTTTATTATTTGCTTTAACATTTCAGCTTGTTATTCTAAAGAAATACATTATGTATACTTAATAAGAAAAGTAATAAACTTTATATTAAAATTACAAAGTAAACAAATGTTTTTATGCATGATTTTCACAATTAAAATGTACAGAGCTCTTAGTTTATTGATCCACCGAACGTATTATTAAAATAAATAACAAAATTTAGTTTACTTTCAAATTTTCTGAACCACATTACAGTGAATCCACTAAACCGGGAATTCCCGGGAATTTTCATTTTCTTACAATAGTGATAGTGACTTTAAATAATGGAATTACAAAATATTCAATCGCCTACAAAATGGAATCAATAAAAATTAATAAAAAAATATAACCGGAGAATTCCCGGCAATGGCTTAAAATTTAAAATTTGAACGCGTATTACAGCAATATGGATAAGAACACAGGAATGTATCTATACTTTCTGGATTCTCCAAACATTCAGCTTTCATATGCATCTATTGGATTCATTC